ACAAAAAAAATCAATATGAATTTAAATATAGAAGTTACATCTAAAATATCTTTTTTTGATTATATGATATTCTCTGAATTAAATTACCAACAATATTTTTCCATGGATTGCACTTCATGTTTCACAATTGAATCAAATACAAAGGCGGGTTTACAATAATAAATTTTTTTTTCATTTATCAACAAAAAATTATCATCATTTTGTTTTTTGATATCAAGCATTTCTTTTTTTGAATTACATAGAATAATTAATGTTTTATATGGAATAAAATCATTTAATAATGTAGCACCGGATAATTCAATAATTTCAATTAATTCATCACGTGTCATATTCATTGATTTTATACCATCATGACATTCAACAGATATAATGTATAATGATGGAAATACAGGTAATTTATCGAAACGACATTGTTTAATACCACGACAAGTTTTAATAGATTTTTTATCACGTAAAATTTCATAAGGAAATTGATCAACAATAGATGATTGTTTAATTGATGCTGTTATCCAATCGAATGAACTAATAAATATATGATAAACACATGCTTGAATAATTTGTTTTGATACTGTGGTTGTAAATGAACCATAATCATTTGTAATAACATGAGTTGTTGTATCATCAATATAATCAGGTTGAGATTCACAGGTAAATTGAACGGATTGAGAATCATTATGAAATTTTGTAAGAAATTCTTTGACTTGAGACTAAAAAAAAGGTGTCATATCGTACAACAGCTGATTTATCTCGGATAAGGAAAATACGTACGATTTGTTTTCTATTCAATGATGTTGAAACGGAAATGACAATGGGTAATGATTCATTTATTTGCATTTGTTCAATCTAAAATATAATACAATATGAATAAATATGAAATATTGTCAAAAATTCATACTTTCGGATCATTGATTGTTTCTGATGGGATTATTTGTTTATCATCATCATTATTATTATTATTCTTCTTTTTAATTTTTGTATCTAAACGCTTTAATTTAGTTTTCATATTTCTTGATTTTAATTGTATTTTATCTTTTGGTTTATTTTCTTTATTATAATGTATTTTACATAAACAATCGGATGCTTTACAAACTTTACTTCTACATTCGTCACATAAACGAAACCAGGATTTTTTTAATGGATCGTATTCTTCCCAATAATTTTTATTATTTTCAATTGATTTACCTTTAACAAAACGTACACGAAATGAAGGTTCATCATCATCATCACTCAATTCTATCATTATTATAATCTAAAGTAAATAATTAATTTTTTTTGTTAATAAATATAATAAAATTTAGTATGAAATAAATATATACCCATGCTTAATGTATGATCCCGCTTGAATATTGTTTATAAAAGAAAACAGAATATTAACTGTGTTATGTGTTAGTGATAAAAGAAAATGAAAGAATGTTAACATTTTTATCTAGTCTTATAATTTAGATAGCAAATAAAAGATAATTCAATAGAATAGGTTGATCGAGAAAAATGATAACGATCAACGCCATTATATTGTATATATCCTGAGGGGACATAATTACAATATGTGAATGATCATAAATGTAGTATTAGTGTCAAAATGAATTAAACTTTATCGGCTATATTATATGTGTTATTCAATAACAAACTATTATATTTATTTATGTTCACATATAGTCATTCTAATATGTTAAAACTATTTTTTTTTGTTAGTAGAATTATTTCTAATGTTATTTTGTTTGATGAAATAACATTCAAATTAAATTAGTTATGTCATGCAAAGAATATATCTAATGGATAATACATTACAGATATTTGAAAAAAATTGCCTACAATAAAAACATTATCACTCTTATTCTAATAAATTTTATTACTGAATTTCAGTATAACTGTGTTCGGAACGTACTTGGCATCGTCTTTTAAAAATTATTATTTTATCTCCTATGATATCAACTAAAATATAATAATAATCATCTATGTGAAAACTTTGTCACGTCTTGATATTCAATAAAATACGATCGTCGGAAAAGCTATCTTAATTGAAGAAGAGAACGAAAGGTGAAAAGGTATAACGACAGCTGTATATATATATATATGTATATGTTGGAAAAAACTATAACAGAAAAGGGAAAAACATCATGACACACTGTTGGAAGATATGGATAATTCGATTATCTCACAAACTGCAAGAACAATAAGATTCATTCTCGAGTTAAATAAAGATGTATTTGAGTCATTTCCTCCAAGTATAAAATTTTTACTCGTCGAATATACATCTGAAAAAGAAAATTCTGAACTCTATCATCACTAGGAGTTAATCAGACTATTATTGGTCTTGTCAAATAAAACTCTTATCAGATAAAATATTACACAATAAGTATAATAAATCTTCTATCTAACTTTAAAGAATATCTCAAATAAAAACAAAAAAATGAATTCAACAGAACATACCATTTATTAAATTCTAATCGCACTCATAATTCATTTAAACAATAAATATATATATATTCCTTTTCGATTATCTAAACAATAATGCATATATATATATATTATATATATATATTTGATCGCTAGGAATAAGACAAAAAAAGATCACAAATGATTTATTTGCACGCACACATAAACACTTCACAACAGAGTTCTATTTTATGTTTTTTTTTTCTTACATACAAACAAAACAAACAACCACACGCACACACACCAAAAAAAAAAAAAAAAGAAAAAAAGAGAATACAAAGAAACAACAAGACAATGATTAATAAATGAATATATAATATGTTGTTGTTATTGTTGCTGTTGTTGTTTTTGTTGTTGTTAGAAATTTATAATGAATATTTGTCAATATCTTGTATTTCAAATTTAATAATTGATTTAAGTAAAAAATCACTTGTTACATATTTTATATTTGATGCTGGTGCTTGAATATATTTTTCTTTAATTTTATTTAAATTTTTATCATTGGTATCACATAAAACAATTAGTATATCAACGGCTTGTTCCATTTGAAATAATTGTGCACCTGTTAATTGTATTAATTCAATTAATTCACTACGATTTATTGAACCTTGACATTGTCGACATTCAATTGCAAATGCATATAATGATTGTGATGTTGGTGAAAATAAATATTTATTCGTTAAATTTAAATCTTGTTTCGATAAACGAAGTGTTGTATGAGAATCACTTTGAATTTCATATGAATGTTCATCAATAAATGTATTTAAACGTATACATTCATTTAACCATCGTGATGAGATTATAAATATATGTTGACGTACAGCTGCTTGAACAATTTTTTTTGTTATTGTACAATGTAAATGATTTTCACTATCATCGACAAGTAGATGTGTAGTTAAATTATTTACATTTAAATTTGTTGATAATTGAACTTGAGGAAATTGACGAATAAATGAAAGAACATCAGTCTAGTAGAAAAACAAAGAATTTTTTTTTTTTGCTATTGAATAATATTAATTTACCCATTGATCATCGAGTAGAGTAGTTGTTGCAATAACAATCTCAAATTATAAGAATAAATAAGAGATAAATAAGTGATATTATATTATAAATTTTACTTGATTTGCTGGAATTAAGGAGAGAGATATTGAAGATTCACGTTTTCGTTTTTTAGTTTCAGATTGAACTGGTACATCGGATGTGGTTTGACGAGATGAAGTGGTTTTATCAATCTATATTAAATAATACGATGTAAGTAAAACAAAAAATCTTTACACTCACTTGTACATCCATTGCTTCGAGTTGATTATTACTTTTTTCTTCATTATTAGTACCATTTGTAGTTGATGATTGCGTAGTACTACTTTCGGATTGTTTATTTTGAGCTTCTTGTTGATGTCTAAATTTTTTTTTTTATATGAAAAGATTAGTATTCGTATAGAAATAAATTTTCGATTTAGTTACCGTTTACAATATAATTCACTTTGTCGAGGTACACGACTGTGACATGTAGTTATTGAACAAAGAAAACGTAATTTACCCGATGCATCTCGAAATGTTCGAGTTGTACCGATTCGTTGTGGTGTATTGGACTAAAATACAGAAATAAATCAATAAATTAATACCAAAAGATTATTTACTTTTTTTGGTGTTTCATATTCATCGGATTGACTTCCATTAGTACCATTTTCTGGTGCTGCTGGTGGTGCTGCGGACGGTGGCGGTGATGATGATGTTGTTGTTGTGACTGGAGTTTGAAAGGGTGAACGATAGCGATTTTTTTTCGGTTGATTTGATACGGGTGGAGCTGATTTACGCTTTGAAGTTCGACTCGTTCTTTTACTGTTATCGTCAGTTTTTTCTGTAGGCATATGTCTTAAATTTATGAATTTAATTCTCCTTCGTTTCTCCCTGCTTCTAATAAACAAATAACTTACAAACGGCAAAATATATCTGATTGACGTCTCAGGATATTTGCACAAGGCAGTTGCGCACAAAGATATCGACGACGGCCAGAACTATCACGAAAAGTACGTGTACCTGTTTTCTCATCAATTTGAACTTGACGGTTAGTCTATTTAAAAAAAAAGAAAGATTAATATGACAAGAAAAATCTATTCAACAAACTTGAGAATTAGGTGAAAGTGGTGTTGAACTATCTGTTGGATTACTATCATTCACTTCTTCAGTGTTGTGTTTATTCGGAGAATCTAAAGAAGAAAAGTTTTTGAAGAAAAAAATTAATTTGTACATACCATTATTTTCAGTTTCTTCTACTTGTTCTACACGATTTGAGTCTGTTTTTGTATTTTTTCGTGTCTACAAATAATTATATAAAAATCAATTAATTATTGATTTATTCTTACTTTCGTTGACGTTTCTTCTTCTAAAACTTCACCATTATCTTCAATATCATTTTCATCAACTAAAAACATAAACTATATATTTTGCTAGAACTATCAAATTTCAATTTACTAGGATCAGATTTCGTTGAAATATCAGCAGTATCATCATTTTCTAGTTGTTGTTGTTGTTGTTCTGGTTGATCTTGTGCATGACTATAACAAAGTAATTAAGATTATCTTTGTACAAATCTACAAGATAATAATCAACTTACGCTTTACAATATAAATCTGCTTCACGTGATACACGCGCTTTACATGTTGGATTAGTACAAACATAATACCGTCGACCACTTGGTCGATGAGCGGAACGGACCAGAAAATAACGTCGACCCGTAGTTTTTGATGTGATTATTGTTCGTTTTGTGCCGGGAGTCATCTAAAAATAATCAAAAGAAAAAAAAACAATAATATAGAAGTTACATATTGCCTGATTTTAAGCTAAATATTTATACAGATAGAGAAAGAATTTATATACTCAAATCGTTGGTACCACATTGTTCAAACGAAGGATATATGAACTTTGAGGAAAAACAAACGAACATTATAAAACAAATATTTCACAAACTCGAATCTTATGGCTCTAATGATTCCATTTCTATAGTTTTTCTACCTTAATAATTCATAAATATTTCCATATTCGATTCTTTCTCCTGAAACTAAATGGTTCAATACAAACTCAACTCAAATATTGAGTAACAAAAAAAAGTGAAATCTGCATCTAAATTGCAAACGATATTCTAAACTATGACGTACATCTTAACAAAAATATTTCAAATACTACAAACAAACAAAAAAACCAAGAAGAAAAGTCAAATTTTATCATCATACATCAGGTTTTTATGTCTCTCTTTCGACTTCTTCAAAATAACAAGATACATGCACATGAACAAAACATGAAATACAACAACAATAACAACAAGAACAAAAAAAAAGTATATAAACAAATATCGGCTTTAGTTTTGCTCGAAACTCTCTACAAAGAAGGAAAAGAAACAAATACACAAATCGAGAACGTGCTTTCTTTTGTGTGTCATCATGATTTAAAAAAGAAAAAAAAAACAAACAAGATAATAAACTGAAAAAGAAGAAAATGCTTGAAGAGAAGATTGTTTAGAATTGAAAATGGAGATTAGTTTCAGGTACAGTTTGATTAGTACTGTTATTACCGAATGGAAATTCATCATTACGTGGAACTTGACTCACAGATGATATATCATCATCATCGTCCTAAAAAAAACAAAATGAAATAATTTTGCAAAAAAACAAACTTTAACTTACATTTTCTGTTGAAAAATATTTTTCAATAATTTCATAGGATTGCTGATAGATTTCTCTATTTGTATGTGTTTGAAGATGTTCAATTTTATCAAGACCTTATTTAAGAGAATTAAATAAAGAAATTTTTGTTTTTCGTATTTCTACCTCCACATTCTTCAATTTCCACTACAATAGTTTCGAGACTATCTTCTGGTGTTTGTTTAAGAATATTATGTATTGCATCAAGACAAACTTGTAAAATTTGAGGATCTTGTTGTTGTAATAGATTACTAAAATAGAAATAATCAAATAAAAATACAATTCATTTTTATGAAGGTGATCAAACCAGAGAGGAGGAATAACACGTTGATTAACAACATATTGAATTTGTTGAGGAGAACCACTCATTGTTAAATTCGATATACACCAAGCTGCTTCTTTTTGTGTTTGAATTTCACTCTATTATTTAGAAGAAAATCAAATATTTATTACGATTTAAATTTTATTGTCTTACATATTGCAAATGATGAATTACATCTGGTATAAGTTGAGCATCAATAACTGCTTGAACTTGTTGTTGATTACCAGCTGTTATGTTCGATAAAAACCAAACAGCTTCCTAAAAGTTAATTTAATACTATATCACAAAACGAAAAGTCCTTTTTTTATTATTAGATATAGACTGGATAGACGAATTTTACACTTATCGTTTCGAAATTCCTCAAATTTTTACATGTAATCGTATGAAAAATTTCTCATTCGACTATTCCTCTTCATTTATATGATGCATAGATAAGAATTTATGCCTTGAATCATAATTCTTACCAATGTTACTGTTCTAGTGGACTCAATAAAAGAATAAAAATTAGGTACTATTATTAACATTAGAATAAACTTCGATTACACTTAATAAGTCTTATTAGTTATTGAGATTCAATTTAGTACATACGTCTAAAAGTTAAGATAATGAAAAAAAACTGTATTAACGAGTTTTTATATCAACAGGCTATTGAAATATAAGCTGTTCTCAACAGCAATACTATCACAATATCTTAGACAAACATGAAATAACTGTTGAATAAACATTATCGAAATGTTAAATAGATTTACAAATTTTATCTAAAGTCTTTCTTCGACTGTCAATCATATCATATCATTTATTTCTAACAAATAATTCAAGAAAAGACACTTATTAGTTCGACTGTACAGTAAATAATCGATACAAAAACTATGACGTCATCTACCAGATGTAATATAGATTATCATATCCTTGAACTTTCTAAAGAAATAAATAAATCTTAGACTTACTTTATTAAGTTTATCTTTTTCATGTTTAAGTAATTTTGAAAAATGATTTAAAGCTCCATGATTAAGTACAAGTTGAGTTTGTTCATCCGTACCTGTAACTACATTTCCAACAGCTCTCAATGCTAAACATATACATATAAACAATTGTAAAAATCATATATTATTTGTTTAAATTACCAGCTGTAACTATTTTAATTTCATTATGATTTAATAATTTAACAATATATGGTATTAAACCAGCTTCAACAACAAGCTAAAATAAATAGATAAAGTTTGAAATAAAAAATCAAAAGAAATAACGATTTACTTGAATTATATTATTTCCACTATCGAGAAGATATGCTAATGCCCATGTACAATCAACAAGAATCTAAATAAAGATAAAATCTTTGTTTTTTTTTACGTAATTATTAAATAATTTCTGCTATATACAGTCACATCAACATAGGATAGAAGATATTTCAAAGCCGGTAAAATATCTTGTACAGCAGTTAATGATAATGGTGGTTCTTTATGACGACAAAGATTAACAATAACCCATGTTACATTTCGAAGAAAAGTAACAGGTATATCTTTTTGAATAAATTCAATTAATGGTTGAATAACACCCAATTCTATTGCATAATCACGTAATCTTGGACCATCACCTAGAAGAATATTTTTCTTTTCTCTTATAAAAAATATATGTAAAATTTTTACCAATAAGATTTCCTAATGCCCAAACAGCTTGTTCACAAACATTTGAATGTGTTGAATGTAATAAACGTAATAAATATGGTAAAGCATTTGCATCAGCAACTGCTTGTGTTTGTTGTGAATTTCCCGATGCAATATTTGTTAATGCCCATGCCGCTTCAAATTGTAATTCAGGATATTGATCATATGTTAAACATTTGACAAGTATTGGAAGAAAATTTAAATGTATTAAATCATCAATTGGAGGATTACGATCAATAGATAAAAGTTTTCTTGCTGAACGTATACCTTCAAAACATATTGTTAGATCTGTATTTTGAGATTTTGTCATAATTTCATTTAAATTTAAATTTCGACGTTGTTCATGATTATTATCATCATCATCATCATTATCTGACATACTATCATCGACAATTAAATTACGTTTAAATTGGATTTGTTCATCACGTTTATTCTAAAAAAGAAAATGAAATAATTCGGGTTTTTTTCTCTTTCTCGTTTGAAATATAAATTCATACTTTTCGTAATGAAACATTATATTGATTTCGTCGACGTCGAAGTTCATCGGGATCTTTACCGTGATGTTTATAAGACTGAATACGAGTATTTGTATTTTTTGGCAATGAAGAATTCATATCTAAGAAAAACAAATGGAAAATTTATGAATTATTATTTTCCCTCTACATTATTGATGGATGAATAAGTTTAACCGTTGCATTTGGATAGGCTCTTAACTTATGTCCTTTATTTCTAAAATAATCCACTAACAAGATTAGAAGCATAAAAAAATAATTTTTTTTTATTAAAGTGACTCATTCATTCATGTTTATAGTAGATTCTTTTTTTCTATGTTACAGTTATTAAAAAAGAAAATAAATGAGCGAAGGTTTTTATTTAAAATAGATGGCAGTAGGTGTCAATGGTTTGTATAGAGGATTGTCATGGAGATATTATTTTACAAAGAACTATTTTAATTGATATAATAGATTTGTATTAAATATTAATATAAGCAAGAAAAATTGTCAAAAATAATGTATTTTTACCATATATTATCTACAAACAACATCCATCAGATTGAGAACAAATTTTTTTTTGACAAAACACTTGATTTTCATATGACAGGTATGAGAGAACGAGAGAATTCTGTATTTTTTTAAAAGTGATTATTCGAGTTAAATGGTAAAAATGTTAAGTGTATACTTCATACTCAGGATAAACATTTTTACAACGATTTTTCTTATTAATAAATAGTTGTACAGTAGAGAAAATTTAGTACAGTTGAATAACTAGGTTTTTTTGAAAAGTATTGAACCGTAAGTGTCTAAAACGAAATGGAGATCGGTTAAAATTGATCAAGATGGATAGAAAAAGGGCAGTTTTTAATTCAAAATTAGAGCCTGAATAATTTAGAATTGATAGATTCTATGTAAAAGTCAGTTTCGATTTCGACTTGATTATCATAAAGTTGTTAACCAGACGGACTAAGAAATATGTGGTATATTAATTCAAAAATCCAAAATATGCAAAAGGAAAGAAAAATTTGCCTTGATATTACTACAAACGTAGTTCAACTTTATGTCTAAGTTTAATCATACGATGTGTTCTCTTACATATCCTATAAGGTATATATTTTATTTTTGTATAGATTCTGTTGTATTGAACTATAAATATAAACGTATAAAATACTATTCATACTATTCCTATTATACAGTTCAAAAATTCATTATTAAAATTCTTATAAGAACTGTTCAATAAAAAATGAGCCTATTGATACCAGAATTTTACAACTGATTTTTTATAATTCTATTAATTATACGACAACAGAAAACAGTAATAGACTCTAGTTGAATGAAAGATTTTTAAATGTCTATGAAGATGACTGACTTCGTCATAAAAATATATGCAATCGGATCATCAAGGACATAACAACTTTTTTATATTCACTTAAGTGATTCAATATTGATTTTATGTCCTATTTAATAAATCAACACTTATCATGTCATCTTATAATAAAATTTTTTATAAATTTTAATATAGATTGTTTTCAAATCCAAATGTTCTGATTATGTCTGCATTTTTGTAGATGACTGATTATTTAATATATCAAGTGGTCATAACGGTATCATTACAACATAAGTTATTTTCGTAGAAAAAGCGAGACAACGCTGATAAATAAATCCAAGTAAATCGTTTCCACTGTACACGGAAACGATATCAATACGAATAAATCATAGCAATATGTTTTATTGTCCTTGAGAAGACATTGAAATTAAACATGAGAAATTGATTTCAGCAACTACTGAACACTATAATGATTACGATATATCCAGAATAGATCGAATCATCGTACTTATCCCATATGAAACAAAATACGTTCAAAAATATCTTATTTTTTATTAGAGCATATTTCATGATAACCACATAATTTTCTATAAGATTTGATATAAAAATAATCATCATAAGTAAATCAAACAATTTATCTTGAAGAAAAAAAACGACCCTTGTTTCGAAAGGCTGTATATACAATAAATCAATTTCATTTGAATTAGTTATATAATCATTTTAAAAGATAAATAAACAAAGCAAATAAATGTCATAACAAATCTAACAACTAATACTCTTTAATGATTTATCTATGTATGATGAAAACGATATTATTGTTATCATCAAAATATGTGAGGTAATACATTTTTTTTTATTAATTATTTACAGGACATTATTTTACTAGATTAGCAATATAAATGTTGACATTCGTGTTGATGTAGATGTTGAGACCAATATATATGGTAATGTAATACCTTCACGTTTATATATATATATATATGAATACTTGTCAAATAAAAAGTAGGTGTATAAAGCCTCCTATGTGTATAGTTTTCTTTTGAAAGTCTCGTTACAAAAAAAGGCAACAGACAAAACTATTGTCAAGGTTATTGTATACAGTTGTAATCCTATGTAAAAATGACATTCAACAATTGAATATCTCCTAACCTTTTTTTTTTCTCATTTATATACTAAGTTATTATTGCATAACATATTAAAAAAGATGGTGCCTATTCAGCCATTTGTGACAGGTGCCGTGATTGATGAAGACCCATATGGTCGTTATCATAAAATGCCATTTCAATTCTATGAATAAAAGAATATAAAAGAACCAATTTGGAGGTTAATAAATAGAAAAAGAAAGAAAAAATTTTTGGCATTAAAACCGTTTCGTTCAGGGTCAGTAAATGTTCTAGTCTAATATTATACGATAAGAAATATAAACCGATTTTTATTTCATGAAGAAGAGGGAGAATTCGTTTTTTTATATAATATTCTTTTCTTTCATATTCAATATTAAACGTTTAGAGATTATGCATTCCCAAGAATAGAAAACTAAATTTTGAGTTAAAATATACGATCAAAAACAAAAATAATCTTTTTCTTGTTTTGATTGGATATTGATTTATATCTTAATTAAAATAATATTATTGTTTTTACAGTCTTACATTCTTCATCTCTTTTTTTTTCTTTAATATGAGAAAAGTTTCATATACAAAAAGAAAAATATGCGATTAAATTTATATCCCGTATTTAAAATTTCTTGATCTTTATTTGGTTCGATCGGAAGAACAAGCCATTCATTTTCTTTTTTTCATCTCTTTCATACGCACATTCTAGTTGCAAATAGAACGAATAAAAAAAACAAGAAGAAAGGGAAGAACATACATAACAAACCGTCCCGTCTCGATATGTACACATCTACCTATTCATCATCGCCTGTTCGAGCATCAACATTGGAGACAACGCCAATAAATTATCAAACTCAGACTTATCATCGTGAACAATATCATTCTTCAAATAATATCAGTAATAACGGTAGTAATATAATGAATGATGATAATATAAATTTAAGACGTGGTGTTAATGGTTTTGGTAATTCAAGTTCATCTTTAACATCACTTCCTGCAAATACACCAACATCAGCAAGAAAATATACTCATAGTTATGCTAATCAACCAACTGATCCAAATCGATATCAAACAACATCTTATCGTGGATATGGAATTGAAAATGAATCAATTCGTCCAAATACTACACGTTATGATTTAAGTGGAAATGTTCGAGCATATTCCTATGATAATTTATATAATGAACAAAATCGATCTCAACCATCAGTAAATAATTCACGTAGTAATGTTCGTTATGCTCAACAACAACAAATAAAACGTGAACCACCATACAGTGATCATTATGATGATGAAGAAGATGATTTGATAGTAAAATCAACAGATTTACCTGCAGCACAAGAACAAGAAATGATCATATTAGTTCGAACAGCATTTCGAAAATATCAAATAACTAATCAACGTGAATTAGCTGGTTTTCTTAAACGTGCTGCAGATAAAACATTTACACCATGTTGGCATTGTATTGTTGGAAGACAATTTAGTTCCTATGTTACACATGAAATGAATGGTTTTATCTATTTTACAAAAGGTCCTCTATCAATTTTATTATTTAAAAGTGGTGCTTAATCTATTTTTAACTATTGCTTATTCTTTATTGTACATATTGATTATTTAGTATTTATTTATTTTTCTTCATTCAATAAAAAAAAAGAAAGAAAGTGCTATATTAAGTTCCAACCAATCTTACTCTTGTATTTGTCTATTACTATCAAATACGAAGTAAAAAAAAAAAGAAAAGGACTGCATTTTACCTATCATTCTTATTTTTTGTATTCGAATAGAGAAAAAAAGAAAACAAAATATGGCCTTGTATCTTAATATACAAAAAGAAAAACGAAATCACAAACTTAGTTATATACGCTATTAGTTCCTCTTTCATCTAAATCAATACAATTCATTTCGAGGATTTTTTTTATTTTCGTCTTATATAAAGGTATACATACATATTTTTTTTGTAATAATATATATATATGGTTGAAAAACAACTATTACATTATCAATATATTGAAGAACCGTATGAAATATCTCTTCATAACAAAATGTAATTGAATAGCAATCTTAAGAAAAAGAAATAATGTTCATTCTCTAGTTGTTTATTGTTGGATTGTTATTTTGTGTGTGTGTGGCAACATATTGTCCTTGTTTTTTTATATTCTTTTATTAATTGATATCAATTATATAATAAACCAGGGCCAAATACTTCAAGTACAATCATCAGACAATAACAATCTCTAACACAAATATTCATAATATGTTCAGACATCATTTGAAGATATACTATTAATACCTGCTGTTTTCATGGTCATATATAGCATAAATATAAGATGACATGAAATATCTTCTATACAACTATTCTCGTTGACAAAATCTATAAAAATTGTCAGAAATTATTGCACCAATTATGTTTTCAAGTATTATATTTCGTATATGAAAGTAAATATATGGAGAATTAGACTAATCAAAATTATTTTTGTGAATTATATGTAAAAATATAGGAGAATTCTATCAATCTTCTAAGTGAGTAAATCAATTTTATAATTTATCATAAAACTATTTTAAGAACAAGAAAAAATATTAATAGGATTTTCATGTCATTCATGATTTTTCATATAATATTGTTCTTATTATATTCTATAATAATTAGAAAGCAAAACAAGCTATACTACAACAAATATCCAATGAAATGAAATATAAATTATTTAACGTTTCAAAAAAACATGTACATTGAATTTTTCAAAGTCTAGGTTTCAAAAAGAATAGAATCGAAACGACAAACTAATTAGCTAATTTAGTTTTTTTCTTTCACTTTCCTATTGTTCGAATATTCAAAATTGTCCATGTATACGATCAATGGAGAACATATATCACATGAAATGAGAGAAAAAGAATAAAATTTAGATTTATTTGCTATATGTTTGTTTTGAGTCTATCAAAACGCGGTGTATTTGGAATTAAACATGGTCATTTTGAAATTCGATCTCGACGGGCAGTTTTTATCAATGGTTAGTATTACATTTGATTATTTATGTGTCTTTATAGATCCATTCATTGCTCTTGATTATTACATGGTTTATCTCATTAAACATGATTCAACACATGGTAAATTATTATGCGATGTTTCACATAAAAATGAAATCAACATTTTTACTGAGTAAATATTTTAAAAACTGGCGTTAAATAGTGATTGATTAATGGATTTTTTTATTGAAGATATTGGGCATATTATTGAAACAACCGGTGTATTTACAACAATTGATGAATGTCAATCGCTTTTACAAGCTGATGCTAAAGATGTTATAATTACAGCACCATCAACTAATGCTGCCAAAACTATATATATTTATTTATGTTATTTTTAATAAATAAGGAAATAGACTTGTATTTTATTAGATTAGAAAATAATTTTTGGTTTAAATGGAAGATTAACTGGTATGGTTTTTTGTGTTCAACAGTAAATGTTTCAGTTGCTGATCTTACTACTCGATTAAACAAAGGCGTCAATCATATTTTAATTTTTAAATTCAATTTATTTATTTAGGTTAAATATGATAATATGTGTACTGCAATTAAAAAGGCTGATGATGAAGTTTTTTCAACAGATTTATTAGTGATACACATTCAGTCAGTTTTATATTAAAGCTCTCAATTTCCTGATTTGTAGTTAAACTATCTTAAGAACGAAAGAATATATATTAATGATGAATTCTTGTCTTTTATTACATATCATTCATGATTTTTCATATAACACTGTTCTTATTTTTTATTTTCTAAAATCAGAAAACAAAACAAACTATTACTATAACACATGCTCAATGAAAAGAAAAATCACTAGATATATAATTAACCTAGAAGATAGAAAAACGGCGATTAAGCTGATTTTTTGTCAGCTTGATCCCATGGACTTTGTTGTTGAACTCCTGTATTTCCACCGGATTGTTTTTCATCTCTTTTACTAAATGATGATGATTGATCATCAGTTTTTCGTCTTGTTTGTTGTTTATTATCTTCAGTAACTTGTTTTGAACGTTGTGGAATAGGTGATGTTGATGTAGTTTCCATTGTTCCAGGTTTAGTTTCGTTACGTTTTGAAGTATTTTGATCTCGTGCACGTAGATTAGTATTATCATTTCGATTTAAACGTGATGTTTGTTGACCAGGATTTTCTTGACGAGAATATTCATTACGATTTGAGAATCGTTCATTTTCATTAGACGAATATTGTGAACTAAAAATAAATTCACTCAATTTTATCTTCTTTTTATTATTATTATTAAATAAATACCGTCGTTCATAACCACCACTTTCAAACCGACGATTATTATCTCGATTATAACCACCATCACCACTTCGTTGTCTCATATTACCTGAGTTTTGATTATAACCTCCTCGAAAGCCAGAGTCCCGCTTTAAAAAAGAAATGAATACTATTTTCTAATCATTTTAATCAACTTACAGAATTACCACCAGTTCGTTGATAATTGTCACGAGAATTTCCTTGTGCACCTTGTTTGTTAGGCAATATAGCACCACGACGACTAAAATACAAATAATGTTTATCGTATAGAATGATTTATCATATATATTTACGTTATAGGTTCATTCATAAAATCAACTAAATCAGTAGTTGATAAACGATTATTTGTTGAAACAAATTTTTTTAAATCTTCAAAACGTGTTTTAACATCTTGATTTTCTGTTTTATCTACTGCTTTTTGAATATATTGTAACTAAAATAATTAACAAAACAAGAATATTGTTTTTTACGATTTTAAATAATAACAAACCACAAGTGGAAATACACGACGACGATCATCATCAACTGGTGGTTGATCAGCAAGTAAATGAACAACATTGACTGCTTCTTCTACTCGTCCGAGTTCAGCATAACAAATTGCCTTTTTAAATAAAAATTCATTTATGAATAAAATCAAAATTTTATAAAAATAATTTTATACTCGAATATTTTGTATTGTAGTTAAATTTTGTGCACGAACAGCACCAAGAATTTCCATAGCTAATGAAGGTTCACCCTAAATAAATATATTCTTACGATGACAAATATACTTTAATGCTATATATCTATTACTTGTTGAATTGCTAATAAAGCAATCATAGAAGCTGTACGTGGATTGACATCAGAATCACGTTGCATTACTTTCGATATTAATTCTTTAGCTTTTGCCAATGATGCTTTTGTATTCTAAAAAAATTTAAATTTTCGTTATATTTTTTTTGTATTTGATTAGATAGATTTTGTTTTTACTTGTCGATACAATCCTTCAATTGTTAACATAACAACATCTGTTGGATATGTTCGACCACTTGTAGTAGAAAAACCACGTTCACTTCCATATTCAAATACTTTAACAGCGTCATCAAAACGTTTATCTTCAATTAATTTATTTAAAAGAATAAGAGCTGATCCTGAATCTTGAAATATGTCTTTTAAACTCTAAGAATAATTAATCATAATAAATAAATCAATATCAATAAAAAAAAATACTTACATCATCCATAAAAAGTTTCATAGCTAAGTCTGGTTTATTACGAATATATAATAAACGCATAACAGGTGAACCAAAATGATAATCAGTAAATTTAAGTTTATTTGAATTATATCTTTAAATGAAAAGAATTAGTTAGGATATCTTTTTTTGGGAAATAATTTCACTTTTTTAAAGCTTGAATAACACCATCTATTTCTTCATCAGTATCAGCTGACATAATCATATTACGTAAATCTTCAGTGAATATTTGCGAGTCAGATTTATTGATAGAATCAAGAAAACGTTTTTTAAAACCATCTAAAATATAATATGTAAAAACAAGAAATGAAAAAAATATGTTTTTACCAAGTGAGGGAGCATGACGTGAAATATGTTGTTCGCGAGCCAATTTAAAATTTTCAAGACCAAGACCTGTACTAGAGAATATAGTGCGAACATGAACAGGTAAACCTGTACGGAGAGTAGCACATGTTGAACCTAAAATAAGAAAGAATATCGAATTTTTCTTCGCAAACAGAGAGAAATAATTATGTAAGCAAGGCGTTGGTCGACTGATTAGGAAACCGGAATGTTCAGCACGGATTTTTCAGCACTCTTGAGGGTGGGTGTGGGTGTGGGCGGGCATCAGTAGTGTATTGCAATCGCACATCTACTCCCGCATCCACACCCACACCCACACCTATTCCGGTGCTGAACGTTCACCAATCCGACTGATTAATAAGTAGACCCACACTCTCAAGATATAAACTAAACTTACGATTGATAGTTAAAATAGCACTTGAAGCGATTGTTCTAATAATATGAGTCATCTATAAAAAAAAGAAAACAGAAATGAACTAATCGTTTATATTTAATCTGTACAATTTGAAAGACAAAAAAAAGTGGAAAATTAGCGATTGCGTTTTATAATATCTATCAAAAATTTAATATCATTAAATAATGTCCAAGCTAATGGTGCGCCCATAGGTAAATATAATGGTACATATATAGCAAATTTTTGATCATCTGGAAAGTAAAGTAATTTAAGTAATGATGGATCAAAGAAGACTTGATCAGCAAGTAAACGTCCTTGTTGACAAATATTATGTTGTTTATTTTCTTGACATTGTTCTAATAAATCAACTGAATTATGTATTTTCTTTGCCATTATATCATCAATAACAATATTAGGAATTGAAAGAAGTAATTGAGATAATGTTAATAATGTTTGTCGTCCATTATTATAATTTTCAATTGTACGTAGTGAAATCCATTGATCAATTGTTTCAATACCTAATAATTGATTGAAATGATTAAGAAATTGTTTCATTATTACATTTAAATTTTCTTGAGAATTATATTTATTATAAAATATAACACTACCCCATTTAGGTACAATAATTGAATTTTGTGGATTATTTTCAATTGTTAATGGTGTTTGTTTTTCATCAGGAATAAATAAAATAAAAAATATTTTTTCACGATAATGTTTTGTTGAACGATGTAATAAATATTCAAGTTTATTAATAAAAAATGGTATTTGTCGTTTTTCTAAACTATGAATTGTTTCACTTGGTAATATTCCACGTGTATTCGAAATAATTTCTGTTGATATATCAAAATCAATATATTTCGAATATGTATTGATTAAATAAGGAGCAATTGTTGATGCTATGATTTCTTCATATTCAGTTTTATTTAAACTATAATTTTCATCATTATTATTAACTAAATAAAATGATATTTCATAAGATGAAGCCGCTTGAAATGATGTTAAATTTGTTACAGTTACATCCTCCGACGATGTTGAAGCAAGAGTTGTTATACGAGAATAGGGTAATGGTGCACGATAAGTAGTTGTTGTAGAATACCATAATGGTAAACCAACGAAAAGAAAAAGAAACGTAAAAATAAAACGATTGATGAATAAATAGAGTTTTTCATCAGGTAACTCTTTTTTGATTAAAGTTAAGATATTCATATTTTATATGAAAATCTAGAAAAGAAAAAAGAAATGTAATAATAATATAGATGTGTTTATTGACAAATAAATAAAATAACAGAAGACATTGATCAAGTTCAATTGTAGTCAAAAATGAAATGTCAAGTAAACATAACATAAACTATCATTAACTTCTATGATATGATTGAAAAACTGAAATATAAATTTATTTTGTAACTGACATCGTATAGTTATCAAAAAGTGTAAAATATTGTGTATCGAACGAGTCAGAAAGAAAAAAGAAAAAGTGAATGAGTTTGAGGTTGAAAGAAAATATTTGATTTGATTGGTAGGAAAATATACAGCATGTAAAAATAATTCATGAAGGACGATGTCCTATGATAGATGTCGTTGAAATTCTTCTAAATAAAAATATTCTTTTATTATAAAATTAAATACTTAAGAATTCAGAATTATTTAAAAATTTGTTTACATAATTTGAATTTTTTCTTGTCACTAGTTACTAAGCAACCATCATTTCTTGATAATGACCGATGTCACATTTTATTTAGACCTTTTTCTTTTTGAGCGATGGCATCGGTAGCACCAGATAAAATACTTGAAATAAAACAATTAATATCTAATCATCTCTCACAATCCGATATCAATAGTGCACTTCGTGATGTTCTTTCGGATTATTCACAACGACATCCAAATTCAGGACCAATTAGCCGAGATCATTTAATAGGCGAATTAAAAAATCGTGGTGTTGTCGATTCAATGATGCAAAATATTCAATTTGGTAATCAACAACCATCACCTAGACAACGTCAATCACTTCCAATGACATCGAAACCAACTGTGAGTACAGTTGATACTGATCAATTAGTTTCTGTACCATTAGAACAAGTCAATTTTGATGCAAATAGAC